CTCATCACCTGCATGCCCTCCTTCCACTTTCATCACCTCTTTTCTCCGCGTCCTCCTCAACCTTTCCCTTGTTATCCATCGCACCCATCTGCATTTCTCCCCCTCACTTCCCCACCGTCCGTCCACCTTCCATCTCTTCCTTGCTATTGCATCAGTGGATATGCGATCACTCTCTTTCACTGTATCGCTTATCGCATGGCTTCTCTTCGTCTCTTTATTTACCTGCTCGGTCCCTGCCTGGCGGTCGTTGCAAGAGGAGGAAACGGCGCGTCCGACCCGACTTGGGGCTATCCAGGTGGGCATGAGAGCCGGAGGTCGAGAGGGTGTAGTACACATAAATATTATAGATATATTATATTGAAAATATACGTGCCTCGACAAGAGATCTGTGGCCGTGAGACCGTTACGCGACAAGTGATGGGCTTGGAGGGCCGAACCGTCCCCAGGCTATTCGCCCGCCCGCCCAGGACCTTTCCACCCTTCGGTTCCTAAAGGCGTTTTCCTCCCACTCGTGTTTATTTATAACACTACGTACCTCGTGGTTGAGAAGATAGGGTTGGGAAATTCTGATACCGTCAGAAACGACACCGGGCAGTAAGGTGATGAAGAGTAGTGTAAGGATCCCCATCACCACCAAGGTGCAGAGGAATAGGATGAGCAGCCGACAGGGTATGCGGGTTCGATGTATCGCATTTCTGGAGGGGTATGGGCCCGACAGGTTTGAGAACGGTGGTGGTTCATAGAGAGCTGGATTTCCTGAGGCTGATTGTTTGGCTCCTTTCTCGCGCTTCATCTTGACTCTTGTGTTCGCTTCAAAGCATGTAGGTGATGGAAAATTGACGCCCAATCACGGGCAGCTTATGCATAGGATGAAGTTGCCAGACTAATAAACCTTATCAGTCCTACAAATAGTCTCTTGTGACCATTGCCTGTGGTGGTGTGAATCATATAAAAGAAATATAAACAAGAATTTCCTCCCAAATTTGATGCACGAGGGTGTCATCAGAGTACTTTTTAAACACATGACGCATGACTCATTTCTGCAGTGTTCCACTCACGTTCTTATCCCTGCATGATGCATTGGAAAATGTGTCTATAATCTGATTGGATAATTTCCTTTCAACCGTTGCAAGCCGTTACGAAGCCGTTACTCAGCACTTGAGTAATGTGTCCGCATAAACGTGTGACTTTTACACACACACACACACACACACACACACACACACACATACATGTGTGTATATATATTGCAAAATGAGTGAGGTTCGGAAAAGTAGAGGTAAGGGAAAGGAGAAATTAGAAAGAGATACGCAGATCTCCGAGGCATCAGGAGATTTGCATCACTGAACCTCCCTCAATAATACCTCCTCGTCCCGAAAATGAGATGCCAGTTTTCATTTCCAGGCTTATCTATGATATGTATACGCTTGAGGGTATCAAATGTATATTCCCTCATATGTAGGGCTCATTTCCAATATTGCGAAAGAGATTGATGGGTTGTTAAAGAGTCTTGAAGAAGGCACCAAACATGAACATCGCTTCTTCCTAATGCATCGACATTCCCGTGGGACCAAATCACAGATCGGTGCGTCTATCAATCAATTTGGCTTTGATCATCAAGTCATGTCAAGGTACCATGGTGCATACATTGCTTGATGTCCTCTAATGGCTGGGATCCTACCTCCCGACAAAACCCTATCGCCACCTTTCTTATCTTATCTTCATCGTCAATTTTAAGCAACGTTGAAGTTTCAATCTACTTTGCTTTTTTTGCTCCCATCAATCCCAAACCATTCAACATTCGTTCTCCTACCATCCAGCCAAGAAAACCTGACGAAAGTCCTGCAAAATCCCAGTAACAACGTAGATATCTTCAAAACGCCTCCTAAAAAGACGTGTGGAAAAATAGTGACGATTTATGTGCAGATTGCGGTAAATCTTTCCCTCTTCACGTTGTCTTTTCTTGACTCTCTCTCTTCGTGCCTAGATTGAACGTTACGGTATCATCCCATTTTTCTGATGACAGCCCTCCTCCCACTACCTTCCTTGGAATGCCTTTCCTTTTCTTTGCGCAGGTCCACCCCAGGCAGAAGAAGAAAATACCCCTCCAAATCGACATGCACCTCCCTGCCTCTGCCCTGATCCATGAGGTCGCACGTGCCACCCGCATTCCTCTCGAAAAGCTCTCGGTCGAGTACGGCGGCTGGCTATGGCCTCAGGACGGGCTGAATCGCTCTTGTCGGGATAACTACATTCGAGAGGGGACTTGTCTCGTGGCGGTAAGCATAGGGCAGGGTAAAAAGTGGAGAAAAGGACGCGAGACCCCCCGGGGCCCTTCTTTTCTGACGTCTGCGTTCTGTATTGGCTGTTCTACCCTTCACCGCATCGATCTTTTTCCCCCCACGTCATCTCATCCCTGCTTCTCCTTTTCCCCCGTCATTTTTCCTCACGCCCGGTCGTGAGTCTGCAGGGTCGAGTCCAGAAGGGTGACGGGGTGTATGCCTGTCTTTCTTCCAGGAAGTGAGGTCGTGCCGGGGGTGGGAGACAAGCAACGATTATACGGCAATTTGGAGGGGCAAAGAGGACTGATTGAAGTGTTTCGCCTCATCGTTTCCGTCCCGGACACCTAGGTCAGAGGCATTGGGGAGAGCAGGTTGGTCTTGGTCAAGTAAAGTTCTACCGGGGCCTCATCAGCCCCGCGCGACCTCGAACGATGGAGACGGACGTCAGGGAAATCGACACATGCACGAGGAAGGGAATGACCTAAGCTAGTCTGGGGCCCATCAGATCACTGCTTGAGTATCCTAAAAAATAGAAAAGAACACTTTTCAAATCACTGCTTCAGTACTCCAAACAATAGAAAAGAATACCTATATATGTGTGTATATATGTAGATAATACCAAGGTCCTTTCGGCCGCCGTTTACGTCCAGACGCAGGCACTGGGAAGCACGGAGAGCTGCAGCACGGACACTCTTACACCAGGAAATAATGAGACCAGCAGAGAATGACTCTTCCTCTCTCTAGACTGCGAAAGGAACAATCGACGCGTCCACAAAGGAACGCAACGAAAAGTTCGGGAAACCGTTTCTTTGGGGAAAGAGAGCGACAGTTGTATTTTTGAATGATGCTCGCTTCCCTTTGCTCGTATCTTTTGTCTTTCACCTACCCTACCTTCCATGGCAAGGTCGACGGCCGGGAATCCTCCTCCATTCAAACCTCACAGGTTTCCCCCCTCCCTCAGGCATTATAGCGTCGGCGTGGGAGCAGGAGGCATTGGCGGAGGTTCGTGTACAGAAAAAGGAGGCCCAGACAGAGGGCGGAGAAGACGGAGAAGAGGAGGGGGTATAGGTGTGGGTAGGGCGGGGG